AACACTTTCACATTTATTGTGAACATTGGAACACCAAGCAAAATTTAAACATTCAAAATTGTAAACGCTTCTAAAGCTGTTGTTTTTTTTTACTTCAATTGCAAAAACAACTTAGTTGCATAGAATTGCGATTATTCTATACAATATAAGTATACATTTACGTTTAACGCTCTGTGCATGTATGAAACTCAAGAAAAAAAAGAAACATTTCTTCTCGGCACATAGCATTTGGATTCAATTTTTGCAAACCACTCTCATTTACAGTCACATGCTACCAAACTGGTTTCCTTAACTTAAACAAAGAGATTGAAAAAGTGTGCACACACAGTCGAAATAAAAGGAAAAAAACCTAACTAAGGTAACTATCTATTGATACGCAACGACAATTGCCGCGGTACCGGCATTGACTTCGCCATCGAAATACATTTCGATAGCAAACGAATAGCACAGAAAAATACTTGAATATAGACAAATGGTACACAGCACATATAGAAAAGACGCTTCAACGCAAGAAAGACGAAGGGATGAGTATTAAATCAGACTTTTCAACTGAATTAGATATGCAATGAAGAAGTAGGGGGAATCACTCTTGAAAATTACTTTATGATTCAAATATTACTTCCGAATTAAATTTTTTGTTTTCGAACAACGATTTCCCCACGATAGGCAATTGATTGTAGCTGCTCTTGCTTTAACGATTCTTCCTTTTTTTCTGCATAACCATAAATTGTAGTGTGAGCGTTGTATCGCGGTTTGTTGTATTATTTCCATTCAGTAAATTGTGACAACAGACGTTACGGTGATTCGCGAAAGTGATCAATGCTACCAAAGCGTGTATTGTATTCATGGGCGTTCTTGGTGGCTTTGAAACGAGCTAAAATGAGCATCACCCAAAAATTGACATTCGTATAAACTTTGAGTTTTCATTATACTTACTATATACTACTATATCTTGTTGGTAAAGTGAACCAAATCGAGTTGGTTTCAAACACATATGTTACTTTTGAGCAGTTTTGTCGAATGTTGTACACTGGCAACACATTTACGTTATGTGCAAAACATTGCTCACTACACACAGTTCACGCACACCATGAAATGGGGCACTTTTGTGCCACATCGTTCAAGAATACTGCTTCACATTCAATAATTTGCTTGTGTTCACAACAGTATCCGAATGGAATGCAGAAAAAAAAATGCAGAAACCCAAAAACGCAGAAAAAAAATTTGCAGAAAGAAAAAATGCAGAAAACTAAAAACGCAGAAAAATTGAAAAAATACGATTTTTTCAAAAGTTTGTTGACCACAATAGATTTCGTCCGACGCGTGTTTTTTTAATCTGGCACATCAGTCAAATAAGTGCCAGGCGATAGTTTAGGCCGCCCTGAGTTCAGAATGGGCCATGGTTTTGGGTAAAGGTGCTTCTGCCGGGAGTTAATGACTATAGGCGTTCCCACATTTCAGGAAGAACGAATTTCTTGATGAAACTTAGTTTTTACACCAGTACTCCGGTAATTATTGATTTTTTACCTATCTATTCAAGAAGTAATTTGTTCAGACGATCACGCAGAAGCGATTCTGTACTCTCAAAGCTACAATATGTTTCAGAAAATGGGTTGAAATGGGTAAATTTCGTGGAAAATGGTCAAAATTAGTTACTGTATTAACATTTACAACTTTTGAAATGTACGGTTCAACACATGAATGTCAG